TTTGGTGTAAGCGCGAAACCTGCGGGAATGACTAAAATAATGCGCAATACAAGCACTATTTAACCGGAGCGAATGAGACGTGTGTGAGAGAGAAGGGGTCGTCGGAGAGAAGAGAGCGAGAATGCGCGGCTGACGTTGTTGCCTGTGCCGCTGGTAACAAAACAGATCGGCTCGAAATCGGAAAGAAGTGAGACTGACCGACCGGTCGCCGATCATGAGGAAAATCGGCCGATTCCGATCCCTGGACGATCGATCGGTGCATCTCTAGTTTCACAAAATAAAACAGAGCAAATAAAGTGTAATGATATTAATAAAAACAGTATTCTTCCACCAAACAGTTCCTCAGAAACAGTTGTGGTTGCAACAAAGTGGTTGCCGAGCAACACACAAACGTAAACAAAGGTGTATGTTTGTAGAGTAATTTACAACAGCTTAGAACGTGGCTCAGCCAATCAGAATCAAGGACCGGAACTATCCGTTTTATAAATGTTGTTTTGGTCATTCTGAAATGCCTGAGCAAAGTCTGTCGTCGAAGTATTTCTGTATAATTGTTTTACACGACTGCGTTCCCAAACAGCAGCATCCACCTCCGAAAGCAATGACAGCATTTATTGTGTTTCGTCTGCTCGCTCTGAGGCGCAAGTAATTTATCATATATGAAAATTATTATATTCAGTGGCTTCTCCTAGTTTTCTTAGTGATATTTAGCGCCAGTTTACCAGGAAGTGACGATTTTGTTCTCTTGGACTCGTTGGATGGAAACGGTGCTTTATTCGCAAATGTTTAATGCGATATTCCAGTTTTGGGCATAAATTTAATTCGAATCTTTGGATGGAAACATAGCTAATGGGATGAAAAGCTATGAGTGACCACTGAACCAAGAGTTTCTGTGACCACAAACCTGCTTTATCATTATTATGACTTAAAAGATGTTAACAAAAAACACATCTCTGGAAACAACAGCAAGAAAAATGACTAGTCTGATTGCTTACCTTTGATTGAAGATAGAATGAACCGCCAACCGCTTTGTCATTGACTTTAAATAAATGTTCGTAATTCTGAGGAGAAAATAAAAGCACATAAAATGAAAACACATTTTGTTAGAGGGTGAATACTGTAATGCTGGTCCCAATTATATTACAGACTGTTAAACAGACTCTCACCTTCTGGATCTCCTCTGGTGTTAGTGTGGAGATGTTCAGTATCTGTTGGGCTTCTTGTAAAGTCATTCCTGTGAAACTAGACGCAGCCGCAGACTGTCTGCCCGCTCCACCCCGAGCCTCGGCAGCCGCTTGACTGGCTGCATTCACATTCACACAACATACTACAGTCATACTTCACATATAGAGTATTCCTCATATTGGAGATCATTAACATCAGTCATAGCAAGACATTTGCGTATTAAGACATTGCAATGCTGTCACATTCTCCTAAGACTCCCAAAATAATAAAAACAGAAGATATACAATAATAGCTATAAGCACATTGTAATATTTGGTTGTTATTTTATGGAGATGTTAAATAAGAATACACGTTTAAATGTATTTATTTAATGTATGTATCAAGCAGATATTAACAACAAGAACAAATACCATTTACCAAATGGTGAGAAATTGATGAATAATAAATGCTACTAATATTAATATGCCAACTTAGTTGGGGACACTTATATCGTTGACTTGATTGCAATGATTGCACAGATACTATTTAAACTGAACTGAGCTGGATGATGACATCACTGAATTCAATGATGAACTGTCTTTAACTGAAAAATGAGTGTTTACTATTGTCATTTTGCATTATTGACACTATTTTCCTAATTAATGCTGTTCAGTTGCTTTGACACAATCTGTATTGTTAAAAGCGCTATATAAATAAAGGTGACTTGACTTGACTTGACCATTAATTATTAATAAATGAACAAAATATAGCATTTTTTTTAATTGACCTGCAAATTCTTGACGTAAAGCTCTTGCAAAAGCTCGTCCGACCACCTGAGCCCCCATCACAATGATCTGAGCCAGATACTTGGCCTATGTGAACACAAAAACACAATAAATATACAAAGTAGAACATAAAACATTAAGAAAGTGGCATACAATTTCATGAGAGAGGATACAAAGTTTGAAAGGAAGGCAAATGACACATTAGACTGACACCTCCTTGTTTCGCATACACATGTTTCATAATAAATAATGTGTCATTATAAGTGAAATAAATTAAATATATACATGTATCTAAGCTTACATATTTAATTAACTGCTTCACAAATACACAGCCTCTTTAAATCATCTTTACATCACTTCTGCGGTCATAAAGATTCATTGATCGTTCATACAACCATTTCCCGTTCATATTGCAATAATACTCCTACTATGAAAATGAAATGCAAGGTCGTTGCATAAGATCATCTGAAATGGAATGATCCATTATTAGCATTTCTAGAGATGAAATACAGAGCTACCGACATAAAATCATTATGATCTTTAAATAAATATATGAACATACCATGACTGATCTGTTGTGATGATAATAAACAGCTCAGTTTAGGGCAAATGTTTTCACGTGTAACTCCATCAAGGTTGATGAAACCGGCGAAGAAACGAGACGAACACACACAACGCACACTGACACCTGCTGGCTGGAGGACGATCACGCTCTGCTCAGATTGAAGCAATGGACAATCGCAGGACAATCCGGGTGGCCAGTAAGAAGATAGTCATTTTTAATTTCAAGAAAATTGATGATCTTTACATTCTTTAAAAAACTCGTTTTAGTTAAACGAGTTAAATGCAGGTTTAGGTAATTTGATAGTTTCTTGTAGCCTATTGTAACTCTCTACATTTTGTTTCTTCTTATTGTGCTTGTAAATTTAGTAGTAGAAGTAGTAGTAATAATAATAATAATAAAAACATAAGTAATGGAATATATTTAAAATCACCAGATGGGAAACTTGTCTATAAACAGTTCTTGAATAAAATATACATATATACGTAGATATAAATACGACTACTACTACTACTAATAAGATTATATTGTGAATACATAATTATATTATTAATAATACATTAAATACTACTACTATTACTACTACTACTAATAACAATAAACAAAAGATATGTATATTTATTATTACCAGATAAGAATTTTGTCTATAAGCAGTTCTTGAATATATAAACAATATAGAGAAACAACTATGATAATAATAATAATATACTGTATTAACAATACATTATATATTATATAATGTAGATTGTATTATTAATGTGCGCATGTGTGTGTGTGTATATATAATTACATAATTAATAATACATTGCATAATAATGATGATTATGTTGATAATAATAATAATAATGGCAACAATAACACTTACAATTGCAACAATTACAATATGATTGTGATGATCATCAATAAATACACCACTCAATTCCATATTTCTTAGCTCTCAAGGTTTTATTTTGAGGCAACATTCCCACAAGACTGATTCCATTCAAAAGAGGAGTGAAAAACATTATTGCCTATAAAGTATTAAAATGAACACGATTACAAGTGCTGTGAAAAAGCATCCCAAAAACATCAGATTGGTAACAAAATGAGCTCACATTAAAAAAACACTAAGCAGATCATTACCATATCTATTAACATCCACCATTTATGTGTGATTACATGATCACATGTCAAGCACAGGACATCGCATGGTACAAGTGCCATAACATGCACGATTCCTTACCTGGCATATGTAAACATGTTCTGTTAAAAAAACAAAATTAGTTGTATTGCCTTGTGATAGACCTGATTATTGGAGAAAATACCCTTGTGAAGTAGATTTGTGTTAATACTGTTGATGAGGTTGAGCAGAAGGAAATATACAAAAAGGAGCATTTTCCAGTTTAAAAAGGAGTGTTTTCAACAGTCTCCAGATCATTCATTTAGAGGTACACAGACATTTTTTGCTCAAGACTTATTAAAGGATAACTAACACTGCTAAGAACCTAAAGGAGGCGACATTTAATCCAACAAATTACCACAATATCGATGTAAAACGTACATTTAACCATTTCAATAGTCAAATGATTGTATTAAATGCACTTTTCACCAATGAAAATATCTAGAGAGGTTTTGTGTTACGGAAGGCATCTGCTATCATGCAGTCATTATACAGTCAATTACAGCAGTACAAAACTGATGCCCATCATTAAAACTGTCATATTGTAAATGTGCGTCATGCATCTGAGATGAACGTCTGAGCTATGCATAGGAATGTGTTAATCTGTGAAGAATCATTTTAACCGCTAATAACAGATATTAATACTCCAGTTAAACCAATGCAGAGAGATGACGGGTGGATAATCTAGAAGACAGGAATGTGTTAATCTGTGAAGAATCATTTTAACCGCTAATAACATATATTAATACTCCAGTTAAACCAATGCAGAGAGATGACGGGTGGATAATCTAGAAGATGGATGGAGGAGTGTGTGAGAGTGAATCAGCAGGCTGTATGGAGCTGAAGCCGACGGGATGAGGAGCGTTTCGGAGGTACATTGGCACCCTGGAATGGCAAGATTCAAATACAGCAGGCACGTCCCATGTCTGCTGCTGGCACCCTGACTGGACCGCGAGGCAAGGCTTGTGTGTTAGTCATCCTGAAACACACACACAGACAGGATTTAGATGGTTTACAGTGTGTCATCAATCATCTGGTGTGTGTGTTTGTGGGGTCAGTTCTTTACTCACCCACTCGTCTTCATCCACCCCCTCATATGACTCCTGTGGCAGAGGGTCTTCCCTGTTTCCCAGCTTCGCCACCATGGCACTGAGTAACTGCAAGAAACACACATACACACAAATAACTGAGACAAGATAGATAGACAGAATGAAGGAACGACAGATGGACAGATAGAGAGAACACAGATAGAATGAATAAACAAACAAACGACAGAGGGAGACAGAACAAATAAACGACAAACAGATAGAATGAATAAACAAACAGATGGAACGAACAGACAAAAACAAATGATAGACAGAGAGACATACACACAGACAGAACAAACAAACAAACAATAGACAGAATGATCAAACGACAGACAGACAAAACAAACAAACAAACAAACAAACAATAGACAGAGAGACAGACACACAGACAGAACAAACAAACAAACAATAGACAGAGACAGACACACAGACTGAACAAACAAATTGCAGACAGATAGAATGAACAAATGACAGAGAAAAAACAATCGACAGACAGACAGAACAAACAAACAATAGACAGAACAAAAAAATTATAAGACAGACAGATAAAATAAACAAACAAATGATAGCCAGAGAGAGAGACAGACAGAACAAATGATGGACAGGCAGAATGAACGAACACACAATAGACAGACAGAACAAACAAACAAATAATTGAAAGACAGAATGAACGAACAACCAAACGATAGACAGACAGAGAGAGAGAGACAGATAGAACAAATGATGGACAGACAGAATGAACGAACAAATGATTGACAGACAGACAGAACAAACAAACAAATGATAGAAGACAGACAGAACAAACAAATGCCAGACAGACAGAATGAATGAACAAACAAATGATAGACAGACAGAACAAACAAACGAGAGACAGACAGAATGAAAAAAACAAAGGATAGACATTCTGAGAGAAAAAAACAAACAAAGGATAGAAAGACAGACAGAACAAACAAACTACAGATAGACAGAATGACTGAACAAACAAACGATAGACAGACAGAACAAACGATGGACACAGACAGAATGAATGAACAAATGATAGACAGAGAACAAAAAAACAAATGATAGAAAGACAGACAGAACAAACAAACGTCAGACAGAATGAACGAACAAACAAACGATAGACAGAGACAGACACACAGACAGACAGACAGAACGAACAAACGACAGATACATAGAATGAATGAACAAACAAACAATAGACAGAACAAACGATAGGCAGAGACAGACAGAATGAATGAACAAACGATAGACAGACAGACAGAACAAACGTAAGACAGAATGATCGAACAAACATACGACAGACAGAGACAGACACACGGATAGACAGAACAAACAAACGATAGGCAGAGACAGACAGAATGAATGAACAAACGATAGACAGACAGAACAAACAAATGTTAGAAAGACAGACAAAACAAATGTCAGACAGAATGAGCGAACAAACAAATGATAGACAGAGACAGACACACACACAGACAGAACAAACAAATGATAGACAGAGACAGACACACAGACAGACAGAACAAACAAATGATAGACAGAGACAGACACACAGACAGACAGAACAAACAAATGATAGACAGAGACAGACACACAGACAGACAGAACAAACAAATGATAGACAGAGACAGACACACAGACAGACAGAACAAACAAATGATAGGCAGAGACAGAATGAACGAACAAACGATATACAGACAGACAGAACAAACAAATAAATGTTAGAAAGACAGACGACAAACAAATGTCAGATAGAATGAATGAATAAACAAATAATCGACAGACACGCATACACAGACAGACGGAATAAACAAACTACAGATAGAATGAATGAACAAACAAACAATAGACAGATAGAACAAACAAATGATAGACAGAGACAGACAGACAGAATGAGCAAACAAACGAACAAACAAACAAACGATCGGCAGACACACAAACGATAGACTGAGACAGAATGAACAAACAAATGATAGACAGAGACAGACACAGACAGACAGACAAACAAATGACAGGTATATAGAATGAATGAATGAACAAAGAAACGATAGATAGATAGATAGATAGACAGACAGACAGACAGACAGACAGACAGACAGACAGACAGACAGACAGACAGACAGACAGACAGACAGACAGACAGACAGACAGACAGACAGACAGACAGACAGACAGACAGACAGACAGACAGACAGACAGACAGACAGACAGAC